TGGGTTTGAACCGTCAGCCTTCTGGTTAGCAGTCATTCTCACACATAGCAACCCTAAAAAAAAAAAAAAAATACCAAACCCATTGCTATTGAGTTGATTCCAACTCATAGTGACCCCATGATAGTGATCTTAGAGAACATTATATCTTCTCTGAGGAAAAACATTTAATTTTGCATACAGGTGTTAGCAGAGTAAAATGTAAATGAAAGACATATTATTTTAGAATGAATGAACCAAATGAGCAAGGGTCCTGAGTAAGGAAAAAGATTGTTCAAAAGACTGAGAAAAAGCAAGTATGGCTGGAATATTGCTATCAAAAAGAACAGTGGTTTTAGGCAGTTGAAGAAGTAGGGAACCTGTCCTCACCACCTCAGCAGTCATTCATACTATTCCTATGTGCTATGATAGCATCACGGGCTATGAGAGAGGATGTTCTGCCGTCCATCATTTACCCTAACATGCACAATGCTTTCTGTTTCAGATGGCTCTGGGAAAACGGCTACAGGAACCATATGCATTGAGGTTCCTGACATCAATGACTACTGTCCAGTCATTTTTAGTGAAAGTAAAACCATCTGCATTGCCACTCCATCAGTCCTTATCTCTGCAAGAGCCATTGACGACCATTCTTATGGGTCTCCTTTTACTTTCTGTGTTGTTGATCAGCCACCAGGGACAGCTGATTCATGGAATATCAGATCCACAAACGGCAAGTGCAGTGTAAACTTGCTCTGAATTTAAATCCAAAAAGTGAAAGAATTAACAAAATAATTATTAAATTATTTAATAATACTTTCAAACTCTGTTCCCATGTTCCTTCCCATGTTTACATTAAGTGAAAAAAAAAAAAAAACAATAATTCACATAGATACTTACGACAGGGAGCCCTGGTACCACAGTGGTTAAGTGCTTTGCTACTAACGGAAAGGTTGGCATCAAACCCACCAGATGCTCTGAAGGATGAAGATGTAATAATCTGCTTCCGTAAAGATTACAGCCTTGGAAATTCTATGAGGCAGCTCTACTCTGTGCTATAGGATCACTAATAGTCAGAATTGACTCAACAGCAATGGATTTGGGTTTGGTTTGTTTTTTATACTTAGGATATTAGGGAAATTTTTTAACTGAAAAATCCAAATGGTTCATCAATACTGTAATTACATATAATTGTATATAGATATTAGTTGATCCATCACTTTATATAGGTGAATGCTAAAACAATATTTGGTCAGTTTGAATCAGGACACTTTACTAACTCACCAAATATCAAAATTCACTATTCTGAATCATTTCAGGTAAGTCTCTTAAATGTCCCTGAAACTCAGATATCCTATAAATATATTTCACGTATTTTTACTCACTTGGAAGTATATAGATCGATGAATTTGCACTACTCAGGCTACTAACCAAAAGATCAGTGGTTCAAACCCACTCAGAGGTCCCTCAAAACTGAAAGGTCATACCCATTGAAAACCCTATGGAGCACAATTTTACTATGATCAACGTAGGGTTTCCATACAGTATAATTAACAAGATGGTAACTGGTGTTTTGTTTTGTTTTGGGTTTTTAAAAAAAAAAAAAATTGTTCTGGCAATAAGGAACAGGGTCCTTGCGTGCTCCGTTGAAATAAGTCAGTATTGACTGCACTGAAATAACAGGAAGGCAGTATTAAATAATTAATTGTAAATGTTAAGGACAAAAATAATTACCGGTTGCTCTATTTAATGGAGCATTAAAAAGAAAAAAAAAAACACTCTAAGCCTGTCTTGAGTGTTAGGGGGGTTACTTCCAAGGAAATTTAATTTATTTCCTGTTCCCTCTCTTCCTTTTCAGCTACCTCTGCAATCCTTACAGCTGTGCAGCCTCTGTATACCGGACGTTACCAGATCCCGATCTTAGTGAAGGACAGCTATAACAGAGCGTGTGAATTGCCACAGATCGTGCAGATAGACGCCTGCGACTGTGACAGCAATCACATGTGCTTGTACTCTAGTACCACCAACATATACACTGGGGACATCAGCTCCGTTACTAGTGACGTAGATGGGCTTGTCACTGATGACCGAATTGGGGAATCAAACGTTGGTCTCGGCCCCTCAGGGATTGGCATGATCATTCTGGGCCTCTTAATGCTGCTTCGTAAGTACTTGATTACATCCCTTTCCACAGATTCACTGAGATGGTTAGCTTTAATTGGCCATTCCTTTTTGGTATCTATAGCAATTTTTGTGTGCCCCTGAAATAATAGAGTTGATAAAGGTGTGAGCTTACTTGATGATAACTATGGTAGTTAAGTTTGTGGCTTGGCTGGGCCTGGTTGAGTGGCTGGGCAGCTGGATGTAGTTATTCCCCATGGTGAGATTGGTAGTTAACTCCATGGTAGAATTTACTGGAGCATCTGAGTAGCTGCATTAGGGATGTGGTCTGCTTCCACTATATAAGAAGCAACTTTGAGGAAGGTCTCTATCTTTTTGGCACACTTGAACCCTGCATGTAGCCGACTCTTCATTCAGTAGCCTGTCATGCTCTGCCAACCTTGGGACTTTCAATGGACTTGAATTAATGGCTGCTGTGGAGTTTGGTAACTTCGGGACTGTGCCTTTTCACTTGTTGACCTTGGGTTTGTCAGCCTTAGCAGCCAGTAGCTAACTGAGTGAAGAAAGCCTTCAGTTTCAGCCGGCTGGGAGCAGGAGGCAGAGCTGAAGCCCAAGGTCAAAGGGCTTTCACCCAGCCCCTAGATCCTGCCACCTGGAACTCAGACTTCTAACCTCCAAAATTGTAAGAGGATAAACTCCTGTTTGTTAAAACCCATTTGTGGTAACTTCTGTTAGAGCAGCACAGCACCAAACAAACCAAAACAATAACTAATAACGTCTAGAAGCAGTGAGGGTCATAAAGGTAGAAAACACATGAAAATCACCAATTATAATGTGGTAAAGCAGAAACAATTAACTCAAACTGGGATGTGGCTTTGAGCTGAGTTCTATTCTTAGAAAAAGGATAGGTATGGGGGAATCCAAAAGACAATCTAGGACAAAGAAATAACACAAACATCAACAGATGAAAGGTACAGAAAGGAATAGCCACTCAGGAAGTAGAGAGTATGAAGAGAGAGTGGAAAGGTACGCTGGGACCCGTAAAGGAGGAATGCATATGAAACTCCAGTTGATCTGGGCTTCAGTCCACAGGCAATGAGGAGTTAGTGGAGGATTTGTAAGCACTGGTGACTAGCTTACTCTGGTGTAGCTGGAAGCAGGAAGAAGTGCCCAGAGAAGAGAATTGACCTCCTTTGGGTTCTTGATAGAAGCCCTTGGGTGGAGCAAATGCTTAAGTGCTCAATTACGAACCAAAGGTTGGTATTCAAACCCACCAGAGACACCTCGAAAGATAGGCCTAGCAATTTATTTCCAAAAGATCACAGCCTTGAAAACGCTGTGGAACACAGTTCTACTCTGCAACATGTGGGACTGGCATGAATCCAAATCAACTCCTCAGCAACAAGTTTGTTTTGGGATTTGGGCTCTTCATGAGCATCCGAAGTAGGATCATCATGGAATTACAAGGTCCCAAAGCAAAAATTTCAGAAAGCTTTCCTCCTCTCTGTATACCATTTTTTTAAAAGCATGCAGATCCTCAGAGGAGAAATATTTTAGATTTCCCCTGTAATACTTAGATTTCATGGCGATCAAAAACTGGGTTCTAAAAGTAAAGATGAGTAAAATCTTCAAAAGGGAGCTCTGGTGGCGCATTGTCTAGGGCATTTGACTGCTAATCAGAAGATTGGTGGTTCACAGCCACTGCCTGCTCCACAGAAGGAACACTGGGCAATGTACTTTTGTAAAGATTTACTGCCTCGGAAACCCAGTGGGGCTTGCTATGAGTCGGAATCGACTCAATGCCAGTGAGTTTGGTTTTTCTTTTTTGTGACTAAACTCTTCAAACTGCAGTGTTAATATGTTTTCATATGGTTGAATACAAACTAAAACATCATCATTTTGAAGTATAAAAAAAGGACAACTGACTTTTTTGGCAGGCTGTCTCTCTTAACACAATCTGTGAGTTTTCAAGACTATTCAAAGATCTTGAGTGATTCTCAAACATGATATTAGAGGTATTTTTCCAGAATGAGACTCTACAGCAACTGAGTGGAGGTGTCAGCATATCTTTCAGTCACTGGTTCTCACCTCTAGCTGAACATTAGACTCACTTGGAGTTCTTACCTCTTCCGTAACCCTTTCTTGTACAGTGACGCCACTCTTGCTGCTCATGTGTTGCTGCAAACCAAGACAGCCAGAAGGGCTGGGAACAAGTTTTGCTCCTGTGCCAGAAGGGGGAGAAGGAGTGATGCAATCTTGGAGAATAGAAGGGGCACATCCGGAAGACAGGGTGAGCGGACTCTTGTTTTCCAGGGAAACACAGTGTTTCAATGGAAATTGAGCCTGTCTTGACAAATATATACTGCACAAAATAAGCAGATGTCAATTTTAAAATATTTGCATAAAGTATTTATTCCAAAAATCTTTTTTTTCTTTTTTTCAGGATGTCTCAAATATATGTGGACCCATGACAGCCTCTAATACTCAGGATCGTATAGATTCTTCTGGTCAGTGGAAACCAAGATCTGTTTTTCTTTTTAAAACTTGCAAAATTATTCAACAAGACCAACTTCCTGAAGATGTACTTTACAGAAAAAGAGTATATTCATTAATTACTTTGGATAATAGTATAATCAGAGGAAACATTGCATGTTTGAAGTGGACACTTTGTCTATCTTAAACTGTAGCACTGAAATATGGTAGCAATTATGAGGGAAAATTCTGGAACCAGAATGCTGGTGTTTGGTTCCCAGCTGTGCTACTTCCTGGTAGTAAGTCCTTGGACAGGATATATAACCTCTCTAGGCCTCAATTTCCTTATCTTTGAAAGTGAGGGAATGATAGTACCTCTTTCAAAGTGGTATGAAAAGGACTGAATGTGGGTGTGTGTGTATTCATTGTACTATATATATATATATATACATATATACACACACATTAGAACAGTGTCTGGCACAAAGTATTACTTAAAGATAATGTAGCTGTTGTTAATAAAACAAACTGTAAAAAAAAAAAAAAAAAGATGGGAAATAAGGAAAATATGAAGAGGAGAAGGAGGAAAAGCAAAATAAAATACATGTTCCAAATAGTAAATTAAAGAGCATTTCTTAAATTCACATATGCATTTGCCTAATTGGCCCTTACTCTCTTAATTTACCAGTCCATTCTCATGTAAGAATCAGTAAAACACTCAGCTATTGGGCAGTAACTGAACAAAGCAGAGAGGTTGCCAATTCCAAGGCAGTCATAAGGTTTTTGGGTTTTAACTTTTTATTGTGATTTAGGTGAAAGTTTACAGAGTAAATCAGTTTCCCATTCAAAAATTCATACACATTTTGTTTCATGTCATTGATTGCAATATTTTCCAAGTAACGTCACTCATCTCCCTCCCTCCCTGTGTTTCTCATTTCCATTCCTTCCTCTTTCTCTAACCCTTCCTGACTTCTGAACTTTGTCTTTGGGCAAATGCTGCCCTTTTGATCTTGAATGGTTGATTGTTCTAAGGAGTGTGTACCTCTCTAGTGTTATTGTTCAGCTGAAAGTTGAACAATGGGGGTGAGTTCAGTCCCTGGCTTGAAAGATGACTAAGGGCCATAGTCTCAGGGGTTCCACCAGTCCCGATTGGATCAGTAAACCTGGTCTCTTTTTTTTTTAGATTTTGAGTTTTGTTCCACATTTTGCTCCCACTCTATCCAAGCCCTTCTAATGTGATCCCTTTCAGAGTGGTCAGTAGTGGTAGCTGGGCACCATCTAGTTCTTCTGGTCTCAGGATCGTGGTGGCTGAGGTTTGCATTATCTATTAGTCCTTTTCACTAATTGTTTCCACATGTCTTGATTTTCTTCACTCTGGATATGGAGAGATTGATATTTCCAACTTAGATGCAGACATGATGGTGCCTTAGTTTTCCAAGCCTGACCCTTTCAATGAAAAAAACATAAAGTGACCTACCATTCCTAGAAAAGGCCATCTTAGTGCCAACATGAATGAAGAGTGAGTTTCAGTTTGTGCAAACACATCACTGGTCCCAAGGGACTTCAAGTGTCCCAAGTGGGTACAACCTGTCTCCAATAGGCACTGGATAGTTTCTCAGAGATAGTGATAGAAGGAATACACTTGTTTCAACTCCTCAAGTTCCACACCTTTAGGTCTAGGAGTGAAGTTTGTGAGATATGAAAAGGCAAAACTCTATAGCTGAATCCCTTAGTATCATTAACTTAGTTTTCTTTACCTCCAAGGCTGGAGATTTTTGGTTTACTCTCTATTGCTATTTGCCTACCTTTCCAATACTTACTCTGTGTTGTGTTGTGGTGGTGGTACATTGCAGATAGCATCTGGCAATGTTTTATGGATGAACAATGGAGACAATGCAAGTACTAGTATATGAAAACCCTCTCATTTCAGAAATCTACACTAACACCTATGCAGGAGGAGGAATGGTTGAAGGAGGTGCATCAGGAGTAGAACTCAACACAGGTGTTGGAATGGCTGCTGGCCTTGTGGCAGGAGGAGCTGCAGGAGCAATGAGGAAGAGAAGTTCAACGATAGGAACCCTGCGGGAATATGCAGAGTCAGGCGTGAACATGGCTTTCTTGGATAGCTATTTCTCTGAGGTAATCCCTTCCCCACACAATTACACCTAAAGTAGCTGAGGCTGCAAAATAAAAATAATAATGGAAGTAAGCCTTTTCTAGAATATGTTCAGTTATTCTTAATTCTATCAAAATTCTATCCAAATGCTTCACTCCTTCTTAAAATACATAAAGCCAATTTGCTGCAGCAACCTTTTCCAGGCCCCAATATTAGGTCCACTTCTATTCAACTGATGACAAAATGTCCTAACATTGTGAAAAGAGCTAGAATCTCTATTGTTCTCCACTTTTCTTTGTTCATTTTTCTGTTTCCTTTTGATTTTTCCACTTTGTTTCCTGTAATTCAACAAAACTTACTGTCCTCAAGCTGATTGAGGCTCATAGCAACCCCTCCTTGGGTTTCCAAGGCAGCATCTCTATGGAAGTAGATCACCCAATCTTCTTTCCAAGGAGTGTCTGGTGGGTTTGAACCTCTACCCTTCTGGTTAGCAGTCAAATGCCTTAAGCACTACGCCACCAGAGTGCCCTTGTTTCCCATAGTAATAGCAAAGCCAGGAGAATCCTAAAAAAAAAAAAAAAAAAAAAAAGTACATTCTTTTCTTTAATTATGTTATCCTTCCTGCACTTCAGATGCCTCCAACAGGAAGGAGGAAAAACAAAATAAAAAGATGTGATTGGGGAAGGAAAGGAGTTAAACCTCAGGAACGTAGCCTCACTATGCAGATTTTAAAACACGTGGAGAATTAATTATCCCCACTAATCACTAGAAACTGATAGCATGACCCAGGTAGAGATTGACAAGCACAGAGAGGAATAAGGGGAGGAAGATAAAGAGAAAAGGCAGAAGAGGAGGAAAAAGTTGGAGATTCCACTGTGAGAAAGAAAGAGACAAGCCAGAAATATTGGCTGAATTTCTACAATGCCTGAGTTTCTTATAGAGTGATTTACAAAAGCTAACCTTCCCAATTTTTTTTAAAAGGATAACACCAGCTAACAACCAACGCTAAAATATTTATTTGTTTATTTATTTGTTTATTGTGTGGGGTGGTAGTGGTGGTTAAAACCAAACTTACTGCCATCAAGTCGGATCCAACTCATAGTGACCCCTCCTTGGGTTTCCGAGATAGTATCTCTACAGAAGTAGATGGCCCAATCTTCCTTCCAAGGAGTGGCTGGTGGGTATATTGAAATAAATTGTGCCATAGAGTTGATTCCCACTCATATCAATCCCCATTGGGTTCCCAGAGCTATAAATCTTTATGGAAGTAGATTGTCTCATCTTCCTCCCATGGAAGGGAGCTCTGGTAGCATAGTGCCTAAGGCAATTGACTGATAACCAGAAGGCTGGCGGTTCAAACCCATCAGCCACTCCTCAGAAGTAAGATGGGGCAATCTACTCCCGTAGTGATACTGCCTCGGAAGCCCAAAGAGGGGTCACTATGAGTCCGGGCCAACTCGACGGCACATAAAACAACAACAACAACAACCTCCCATGGAACAGCTGGTGGGTTTGAACTGCTGACCTTCTCATTAGCAGCCTTCACTGCACCAACAGAACTTAAAATACATAAGTATATTTTGTCTCCAGACCATCTCAGAAACAAAAGCTATAAATACAAAAGCTGAAAAAATTTTCATTAATTCAAAATTTGAATAAAGTGTAGAAATTATTATTGATTGGTTTTCAAATAACAGGAATTCACATGTATAAAACTCTATTCACCATTAATGCATACTAATCTCCTAAAAAAATCCATTTAGAAAAAAGTTAAAGCACTAGTTTTTTCCTCAGTTCATTCCATAAAATCTTAGATCAGAAGTCTCTGAAGCATTGCTGTTATTCTTCATTATTTAAAACAGAAAAAAAGTCCTAATTGTCTATTTTTCTTAAAATTTTAGAAAGCATATGTTTATGCTGATGAAGATGAAGGTCGACCAGCAAATGACTGCTTACTCATTTATGACCACGAGGGAGTAGGTTCTCCAGTGGGCTCCATTGGCTGTTGCAGTTGGATCATGGATGATTTAGATGAGAGCTACATGGAAACTCTAGACCCAAAATTTAGGACTCTTGCTGAAATCTGCTTAGACACAGAAATTGAGCCATTTCCTTCACACCAGGCCTGTATACCTATCAGTACTGATCTCCCTCTGCTAGGACCTAATTACTTTGTTAATGAATCCTCAGGAATGACTCTCTCAGAGGCTGAGTTCCAAGCAGAAATGACAACACCTGAGCCAATGATTCATGGGGATATTACTGTCACTGAGACTTACACTACTGCTGATCAGTGTGTGCAGCCTACTACAATTGTTTTTGATCCTCAGCTTGCACCCAATGTTGTAGTGACTGAAACAGTAATGGCACCTGTCTATGATGTTCAAGGGAATATTTGTATACCTGCTGAGTTAGCCAACACGCACAATGTAATCTATGCTGAGAGAGTGTTGTCTAGTCCTGGTATGCCTGGCATAAGCAGTAGTAGCATGGCTGATGGTTGTATGGGATCTATGATGAGTGGCAGTATTTTGGTAGGGCCTGAAATTCAAGTGATGCAACTGGTGAATCCAGATATTCACATAAACCAAACCACTGACTCCACATCCCCCGTGACATCTCAACATAGGATAACACAATATAGCAACATTAGCAACATACATTACTCCCAACAGTAAGTGCTTTATGGTCAGCACTCTATATTGAGATCTTGCACCTGCTAATCACCCATATATCTATCAAAAACATATCATGACTATGTTATATTTAACATGTTGACTGTCAACAAATGTTCGAACATTGTAAGTTCCATGCTGCTCTTTGATCATGCCTTTTGCAAAATTGATATGGCTAAGCATTTTAGATCAGCCTATTTTAATTTTTCATAATTTTAAATCATGTGCCAAAAATTTTTCAGAAAATGTATAGCATCCTTTGGCATTATGTCTAATAGTATGCAACTCATAGCAAATCTTGAGGTCCATATAATTAGTCATGTAAACCAATATGGCCTTGTGCTTGGAGGGTTAAAAAAAAGCATTGTCTTCATTCACTAGTCATATTTATCTTTGGAGAGGCATTTCTATTAAAAATTTTTAACTGACAAAGTGAATGAAAAGTACATTTCTAAAAGGAAAATGAAAAGGAACATGGTGCTTCTATCAATAGAGATATGAAGGCATTTGATCTCTTTAAAAAGTTTCTCAAGATATGCAATGTTTAGGGAAAACACTTTACCAACTGAATGCATCACTGAAAATGTTTCATCCAAAGGTATATATCTATATATATACATACACACACACACCCCTATATATATATATATATATATATATATATATATATATCTTTACATCAATATGGATGAATTTTGATCGCACTTTATTGATTTATATCATTAACTGTAAATGAATTTAGAATAGAAAAAAATTGCATGACAACCCTAGAGCAGAAACAGTTCTGGGGAAAATAATAGAATTTTTCTCCCTTTCCGGGAATTATTTCCCTACTTTTGCTAATTATGTCAGAAATATAGATGAAATGTGCTTTAGCCAATTTCATTGACCTGAGTCTTTGAGCTTTCATTTAGCAACCAGATTTTCCTCAAAAGCTACTCTGTATTTATTCACATATTCAACAAATATTTATTAGAAGCTCCTATGTGTTGAGTGTTGATCTTGGCTCTATGAATATATAAGTGAGGAAGACAGACGTGATTCTTGCTTTTTTAGATCTTCTAATTCTTTTCTATCCCTGAAATAAGAGTTTAGGAATATGGCTTCAAGTTTCTACCAAGAAAAGTCAACAAAATATTTAGCTCTATTACCAAGTTGTGTTTTTTTTCCTAACACTGCTATTTGTGTTGGATAAATGAAATGTAAATGTGCACAGAGGTAGGCATAGAGCTGGCTTGAATGAAATAAATTCTAGCAAGATAATTCTTTTGATTTCTGTAAATTGTGTAAACTAAACTACATAGTAGTGATGATAATGTGACTAGTAGGGCAACGTAATTGCAATAACCATTTTCAGGGCTTATTTCTTTTGGAAGGAAATGATTTTGGTGCTTCTTGCTTATTTTTTGTTCTTTTGTGAATAAAACTGTCATAGAATTTGAAGCATCTCACATAATTACTTGCCTAACTCTCTTATTTTACAGAATCTAGAAATAGGTTAAATGACCACAGTCCACTAGGTGTGCTACAAAAGCTTGAACTCATTGCTCAGATACTCATTTCTCAGATGGCCAAAGTACATTTCAATGCTATAATTTTATCAGACATTGAAAGATTATGGGTTTTTCTCATTGCATGGTCTTTGCTATTTCACAGTTGGAAAGAAAAGTATCTCTCAAAAAAGCACATTTTGTGAAGTGTTAGTGCAGAATATAGAGGCCCTGCGTGGTGCAAATGGTTAAGGTACATAGTGAGAATTTGGTGGTTCAAGAGTTATGAAACAAAGCAGTAAGATGGCAGAATAGGCAGAAAGACTGCACAGAGCCTCTTCAACAAAGAAAAAGGGAACCAATTAACACAGATACAGAAGATAAGCCTGGACCCCTGAGCCATGAAGAGAAGGATATAGAAGTCGACTAAACTCCAACTAGCAGAAGAATTTGCATGAAAACACCAAAAAAGGAGACATATGGAGTTGCAGTTTGGCAGTGATCCTTATGGCACAGACAGCTTGCATATTGCTGAGTGGTGGTAGGACCTAAGAATTAACCTAAAAATTGGCCCTGCTAATAAGAGACTGCAAAGAGGAGTGCTCTGGTGGCTGGAGAATAAAAGAGGAAACAACAAAGAGGAAGGCGGGCTGAGCTGTGGACTTTTGCCTGTCCAGAGGGTGCAGCCATTTTGAATGTTTACAAGAGGCTTGACCATTTTGGATATGTATAGCAACAGCATTCTCCCAGATTCCAGGGACTTAAGAACAGGCTCCACTTGCCAGGAACCCCGAGGACATTCCAGATCCAGACAACTGGAAAGGTGTGACATTCCTTTTGTTACTTTTATACCCTACACCCTCTTGGTGAATTGGGGTGTGGCCATCCCTCACTCCCACCCACTTTCTGGGCCAGCAGGAATTCCCTACCAGTCTGTGCGCTCAGATGGAGCCTGAGTGTCCTGCCCCACCCTGCCCTGATTTCTTTATTCCTTTATTCAGTTTTTAAGTTTGTTTGTTTTTGTCTGTTTTAAACTACTACTATTATTATTACTTTTGTCCTTTATACTATTATTATTTATTCATCCCCTACCAAGTTCTAGTTTTCAGCTTTTTTTCTTTTCCCTGTTCCTGTTTGTAATTTTTTTCTTTCTCATGATTACCCCTATTCCTTGTTTTTCTTTTTGCATTTTTCCCATTTTTTTCTTCATTATTTTCCTTCTTTACCTTTTTTCTCTTATTGCCCTCTCCCGAGATATTTCAGGGTTTGTTGTTGCTGTTGTTGTTTGTTTGTTTCATTTTCTGTTTTTTCTTCTTTTTCCCTTTTTTTTTTTTTTTTTGGTTACTGTTCCTCTGTGATTAAATATTGTATTTTTTGTCCTTGTGCTTTTACTTTCTTGATGGCTATTCAATTGTTATTTTTGTCTAACTGAGTGGAAGATAACAACAGTCCCCATATGGCAAACTACACCCACACCTCCTGCAGATCCACTTACTGAGTGAGAACCACCACTTCCTTCTCCACCAACAGGCCAATGATAAACAACCACAAAGAAGAGCCTGACTCACCTTTGCCTGCTCTTCACAAACAGTTAACAGAGATCTAAATACAACAATGCCACAATGTCACAGAGACAACAGACCATTACAGTCTACACAAAGAACCAAGATAAAGTGGCAGAAACAAGGAAGCAGGATACAGACCCAGAACACATCCTTGGGGAAAAAGCAGCATTGGAAATCTCTGATAAGGAATTCAAAAGAATTATATTTAGGTATCTTCAACGGATTGAGAGACAGACCAAGGAAAACACAGACAAAACCCTAGAAGAACTTTGGAAGAAAATACAAGAACAAAATGACAAAATAAA